GTTTTTTTTTTTTCTAACTGGCGGGCTGGCCCGTCAAACCCGCGGCCCGAGGTGGGGGCTGGTTGGGCCAGCATTTCTCAGGCCCGCCCCGCCCCGCCATTTGACGAGTTTTGGCGGGCTACGGGCCGGCCAGCCCCGCCGGCCCGTTTTGACAGCTCTAGGAGTTACTATACTTAGTTAGGGCTATTGTATATTTGCATTAAAATATTATATTATAATATATAATATGATATTATATATATATATATATTATTTGATCGGTTCGGTTATTTCATACATTTTATGTTAAAAACCGACATCAACTGAAATAATCGAATAATAGCAAATTGAAAACCGATTACCGACCGAATCGGATAAAAACCAAAGCGAAATTTTTTATTCGATCGATTTTAGTCGAATTTTGCGTAGCCCTAGATATACTCACTAGTTTGATTGAATACTATACTACTATCTAAAAATAGTATACCCCTTCATATTCAATCACGCAGTCGACAAATTTAAATAATCATTTCCGGCCCACTGTCTGCCTCTCCACTTGCCCTGTCAACACGCTCCCTCCTCTCTCTCTCTCTCTCTCTCTCTCTCCAGCTTTATTTTGAAATCGAGGTTTTCTCTCTCTTATTTGATTTTCTCCTCGATTTTGTTGGTTTGATATGAATTTCTCATTTGTTGTGATGTTATCTTATTTATGCACCAGACCAAGACAAAAACTGCGAGACTGTGACTTCTCCTACACTTCTCTCTCGACGCATCCGCAAATTTTTTAAAAAAATTTATCAAATATTTGCTTGTTGACTTTACCCAGTTGTAATTTTCCCAAACAAACAAAACCCCTTTTGTTATGGTTTTCTGAAATCAGAACAATTGCTGGTTCCAGGTAATTTTCTGTGGATATGTGTTGAATTTTCGTTTCTTGTTTCTTTTCTGGGTAGGGTAATTTGGTTGGTTATTTTCTTCTTCTTCATTTTTTTTTCTTTCCCCTTCTTTTCGGGATTTCACGGATTTTCGATTTTGATTTAGTTATGAGAATCTGTGTCTTTGATGTCTGCATAAGCAGTTTTATATCTTAGAATTTTCTCTAATGCATTTGTTCATGAATTGTAAAGATCAGTCTTTGAGCATCTTTGTGTGGACTTGATTTAGTTGATAATCAGGTTATCTGCCAAAGTGTAGAATTTGTTTTATGTTAAAATGGGAAATTGTTTG